TAGTCGCACATGCTTCGGCACACGTTGTGACTCTAGTGATACACACAATGATTTCATCCCTTCGATAGCACCAATCTTAGATTCTAAGCTAACATGAATAATAGAATTGTCACTGGTTGACCTTTTTAAGCCACATCAATAAAAACATCCACTTTTTCATCGGTCCAGGTTAAAAGAGGGGGTCAGCATCTAAATGTATTAAGCATCCATACTTTCGTGTATTAAGCTCTTGTAATCATCTCTAATTTCTTTCCCAAAACCATGAAATGGGATTCTAAATCTCAAAACACATCATTACTAGAGATCCAAATCATAAAACCACATCAAATCATCAAAATGTCTCCAAATCATCCTGATCCACATTTTAAAGAAGGCATCAACAGTGCCAACAACTAAAGTTTGTGGCAAACAAGGATCTTCAAATGGGGCTGGTCATATTTAGGTGAAGTGTCATTTGGTTAGTCTTTGATTATATCATATTCAGCTCTAGAAACAAGTAGCTAGCAAATTATGATAAATTTAAGCACTTACAACAACAACAATAAAGCCTTTGTTCCAAAATAATTTGGGGTTTGTTCCGGGTGTGCTCCGGTAACTTGAGTCTTAGGATCCATAAAGGTTTATCGGCCAATTAAGTACCTGTATAGTCAACGCAAATTAGCTAACCCGAGGGATTGTCTGGGGATAACCACTCCGATGCTAAAGTCAGCAATTTGATTAGCAGAATAAGAGAAGAGATAAGAAAGTGCTTAAGAGAGAGAGAGAGAGTGTGTTAGAGAGATAAAAATCGTACCTCAATAATGAATTGTGCTTAGGTATTTATAGGAAAACAACCAAACTGGTGCCACCTATCGATATAGGTAGCAAGTTGACTTCGTAGGCAAAAGGTGCCTACGTGGTCGAAAGCAACTCTCCACGTGGCCGTGATGAAGACCGTTATGGAGAGCCGTAATGAAGGCCGTTATGGAGAGTAAGCCGATATGCGTAATAACGGATAACTAACAGCGTAACGTACTTTAGTGGACAAATCCTAACGGTGTCGGCACTATCCCGTACGACGAAGAATGGGAGTGCCTTGTCAGCCGATTTGCTTATGTCTTTTATCGATTTCGGCTGTGGCAAACTGAGAATAGCATCAATCTTATCAGGGTTTGCATCAATTCCTCTTTCACTAACCATAAAACCCATAAATTTCCTCGATTTAACACCAAAAACACATTTCTCCGAAATCAACTTCATTCTGTATTGTCTAAGAGTATCAAACGTTTCTCGCAAGTCGGCAATGTGATATGTAGCTAACCGACTCTTCACAATGGAATCATCCACATACACTTCTACATTTCTACGCTTCTGATTTACAAACACCTTGTCAACCAATTTCTTATGAGTCGCACCTGCATTTCGCAGCCCAAACAGCATTGCTCTATAACAATAAACTCCGGCGTCTGTAATGAACACGGTCTTGGTCCTGTCGGGCTCGTATAAACTGACTTGGTGATATCCTGAGAAGGCATCCATAAAACTCAACAAAGCATGGCCTGTGGTTGAGTTTACCGGTCTGTCTATCCTAGGCAAGGGAAAACAATCCTTTGGAGAAGCCTTGTTTAGATCAGTAAAATCGACACACATTCTCCACTTTCCGAACGGTTTCTTCACTATCACCACATTAGCTAACCAATCAGGGTAAGTACAAGGTTCTATAAATCCTACCGCTAGCAATTTATTCACCTCAGCTTTTATAGCTTCAATTTTCTTAGTCGAGAAGTTCTTTTTCTTCTATCTAACCAGTCGTGCTTTTCTATCTACATTCAGGTTGTCTACCATAACGTCGGGATGTATCCCTGGCATCTCATCTGGCGAGAAGGCAATTACATCTACATTCTCCCGCAGGAGATTAACTAAATGACATCGCAAATCAACATCCATGTCAGATCCAACTCTTACAACTCGGCCTGGGACTCCAGCTGTAACTCAACTTCGACAAGGGGATCAAGACCGCGTATCAAAATTCTCCATAGACGCGTCATGTGCGGATGGGGTTCTTTCCCTTTTCTAACCTACACCATCTATTGGTGGCTGTTGACATGGCTGTTTCAGCGCCGTCACATAACATTCTCTAGCCATTGTCCGGCTTCCCCTAACACGCTCGAGGAAACCGTTATTAGATACGTATATCATCGGCATGTGGTATGTTGATACGACAGCCTGTACGTCGTGTATCATCGGTCTACCGACGATGGCGTTGTACACTAACGACACATCCACCACCAGAAATTTTGTCATCACATCTCTCGCGATAACTCCTTCGCCAATACAAACCTGCAGCACAATGTTGCCCCCACGGAAGACCCATTGAAATCGATGATTGGGTACGACACTTGCGTTAAGTACTGCCTTCCAATCATCATGGCGTCAAAAGCCTTTGTGAACAATATATTTGCAGAGCTTCCTCCGTCAACCAAGACTCGCTTTATCAGACTACCATTTAAAGCCAGTATGAGTACTAACGGGTCATCATAAGGAAAAACGATGCCCTTGATATCAGCCTTTGAGAAGGAAGGATACTGAGGGAATGCTGGAGGGCCGAGGACGGTCTTTTACTCCAAAAGCATTCACCGCGTGCCTGAGCTCCGATAAGCTTTTCTTAGCTCCGCTATGGATCCCCCGTTCACCAGCCCACCGGTTTTGACATCCACCACTATATTACGCCCTGACAGCACTTGTCCTTGCCTCAACATGTCATTCTGCCGACTTGCCTCATGTGCACGTCTGTGATCCGATCCGACTGCTGATATTCAATCTATCTGGTTGGAGGAAGTTGTTGCCGACTAGTATCCTGCTGAGCTTGGTATTGTGAGAGGTGCCCTTTGTGAACTAGATCCTTAATTTTCTTCTTTAGCTGAAGGCAATCCTCAATGCATCTGTGGAACATGGAACAACAGGGGAGTTTACAGCGATTGATTTGTAACTCTAGTAGAGATGTCACGCGCCTAGTAGGCCCACTGCTAGCTTCTTGCATGTGGGATCCTAAGTCTTCAATCCGCGTACTGGGAGGAGCTTGACGCTCCCTTTCTAACGGTCCAAGCCTTAACGGGGGGTGACCCTTCTCGCGGCGGTCGCCGAGGTTAAATTCACTCTCCAAATTAACGAACACGGGCACGGACTGTGCCTGTTTCCTCCTACCACTGCCATCAGCTACTTCATCGATTGGACAAAGCACGCATCACCCTTGCTGTCAGTTCCAACTCCCCAGGAGTGAACTCATCCATAAGATCCGCGGTGATGGCACGAGGCCGTTCTGGTGTTATCGGCATATTTGCCGGGTCATTTCGAATGAGGTGGGTTTCATCTTCCACCATGATTTCGAGTGCGTTGTAAACAGTTTTACTAGTACCGGCATTGAGAATACTAGTGTCATAATTGCAATTATCAATTTATGGAATTGGTACTATGGTTTCATTGTTACCCTCCATAACTGCCTGAGGTTCTATGGACGATAGAAGTTATTACTGCCCCCTCCTTCTAGCGCCAATTATTCCGAGTGTGCTCCGGTAACTTGAGTCTTAGGATCCGTAAAGGTTTGTTGACCAATTAAGTACCTGCATAGTCAACGCAAATTAGCTAACCCGAGGGATTATTCGCAGATAACCAGTCCGATGCTAAAGTCAGCAATTTGATGAGAAGAATGAGAAAAGAGATAAGAAAGTGTTTAAGAGAGATAGAGAGAGTAAGAGAGATAAAAATCGTACCTCAATAATGAATTGTGCTTAGGTATTTATAGGAAAACAACCAAGCTGGTGCCGCCTATCGACATAGGTGGCAAGTTGACTTCGTAGGCAACAGCTGCCTACGTGGTCGAAAGCAACTCTTCACGTGGCCGTGATGAAGGCCGTTATGGAGAGTAAGCCGATATGCGTAATAATGGATAACTAACAGCGTAACGTACTTTAGTGGACAAATCCTAACGGTGTCGGCACAATCCCGTACGGGGTTAGCTAACAGGATAGATTAATGCTTCCATAAATAAAAATAAAAAATCACACTGATGTACTGCAAAAGTGGATTAATGATCATTACCATAATCGCAAATGCCTTTAATCTTTGAGTCAAGTAATTCCAGCTTATGTGAAACTTGGGTTATCTAATTCTGGGTACAATTGGGTTCTATGTTAATTAATTTGGTATAAGTCAATTTTAAGAAGTCTAGAACGACCCATTTACTAGTCTTACTAATCATCACATTAACATATTCTCCGTACTCTCATGAATATGAATCTTCATCAAAAGAAGCATTAGGATTCTTATTAAGAGTTTTCACCATAATTACACCAGGACAACTAGAATCACAATGTCACAAGGATATTCATTCCCTTTTTCTAATATCAATGTATTGTGATTGGAGTTTCAAGCATCAGAACATTAAGAATTCTTTCTTACATAATTAACACCACTATTAATAGAAAACTACTACTTGAAAAGGCCAATGAACCTTCAAGAAGACATAACAGAAAGACACCAATAATCGGCAAGGAATTAAGTTTAATAATATAGGAAAATACACTAAACATCATTTTGAAATACAGTTATTGACCAAGGGTGATATATCAAACTTATTCCAGAAACATAAACTTTATTTTAAGGGAAAAGCAGTATTTAAAATATAATGAAGCTTCAAGAAACGGGATAAACAAAGCACAAATTTCTCCAAGGAAAATTTAATGAATGGTCATACTGGAACATATTTCATAAGGCCGTAACTCTGTAAGTAGAATGGTATTAGCTCAATCCCAATAATATATGCAAGATGGCAGTTCCTAACTGCGTTGAACAAACAAATGTACAATATCATCGAAAAAACTGAGAACATATCATCAGCCTACTTCAAGTCTTTTAGCAAGCATTTAATCATAAAACAGGTAGCTAAGCAACGAAAATTTCATGGTGTAGAAAACAATTCTTACAAATGTAAGACTTCCATACAGGCAAGGATATGCTACATATCAAATTAATACGCTCAATAAAAGCATTAACCAACGAAATCAAGAAAATCCAATACATGACACTAAATCTGGTTATAAATCCTAATTACGCTTATCGATACGGCATTAAAGACATTCCACCTACCACATTCAACATAGGTTGAGCATAGCTAGATTTTACCAATATTAGAAAATGAAAGATACACAATTACCATCACCAAGTACCCCCGAAATTCCAGAAAATGAGGAACATTCTCAATTTATATAATTTGCATCATATAGCAGTCATAAGAACATAGAAGATCTAGAATATATCCTAGCATATAAAATGTAGACAGTAAAAAGCCATAAGAGCAACAGATCTGGAGTTTAACAGATAATTAGAATTTAAAACCTTAAGACGAAGATTCATTATCAACGAAAGAAGAAACTTCCTCACTTGCAACAGTCGCACGATCGGATTCAGGTGCAGTGGACACATCAGAAGGAGGAGCCGCCCTAGATTTGACGGCGTCAAGCATCCGTTTGCTGATCTCTTTAGAGTAAACCTGAAGGATCTCGATGCCTTCATCAATGGAGGAAGCGGTAGCAGAAGAAGCAGGAGCGGAGGAAGCGGCGGCGGCGTTGTAAGCCTCCTCTTCGATGGATATAGCGGTGGAAGAAGCTTCGTCGGGCAGCAAAGATCCGTAGCGCTTGGAGAGGACGGAAGGGGTAGAAAGCGTCTCGATGAGACGGTTGATTACAGCGTCTCTGGTTCGCTGAGTTGGGGGCCAAATGCTGAAGGATGAACCAGAGATGTTCATCTTCTCCATCTTTTCAGAAAGATTGTCCGATGAATGTGGTGGGTGTTGTTCAGTGTCGGCGGTGTTAAGCATTTCTCCGGCGACTGGAGTTTCGTCTGCTGCGGTATCGGACATAGCTGCGGCGTGTTGAGGAAGGAGACGAGGTTGATCTCTTACTTTGCAGATGAAAGATTGCAGAGTATAAAATGGTTTGTTTATTGTTTGGGTTTTTAATGTGTTTGAATTTCAAATTTTGAGTTTGTTGGTGGTTGTTGATAACAATGACGCTGTAACATTGTGGCCCTTTTATAATCGTTTTGGACGGATGACATTTTATAATACAACTATACAAAAACAATCGATCTAATTCATCCGTCTCATTATTACGTGCCTGTATTTCATTTTGGGTGTTCCAAAATGTTATATCTACTATAGAATCTTTTCAAATTTAGAATATATTTTTAGACAAGAATATGCTCATCCCCCAATTTAAATGACCCATATATCCTAATTTTAGCTGAGTTGGTTTTATAAAGTGGGGACAGATATATGGGACCATGTGCCTTCCTTTAAATTTTAAAGCCAACTTTTTGACCATTATTACTCTCTCAACGGCCATATTTCCTCTCTCTCTCTCTCTCTAAAATCCTCTCGAGTCTTCATCTTCAACCTTGAGCTGCCTCATTCCCTCTCTTCGTATTTTGTGATTTCATTTCGTTTTTTTTTGCTTAAAATTGAGCTCATTGTGCTCGTAATTGTCCCCTCTACAAAAGCCCCCTATTCATTTCGAGTTTCCTTGAGTTTTTGAGGGAAGACTGCAACACTTTGTTCACTGTTCATTTTCTCTCTTATCTCAAATTTCTAGATCTGGGATTTTTGCAACTTGATTTGTTGATTTTCTCTGTTATTGAGCAAAAATAAACCCCAAATCGATTGAGATTTGTCCCCTGTTCCTGAACAAAGTGAAGGTGATGTTGGTGGTGGGAATGGAGCAGATTCCGTTGATGGCTATGCCACTGACTCGTGTGACTATGTTCCCCTTGAAGGATATGCTAGTTATTCTTGTGAATTACATAACAAAACGTATTTGCTCTTTGGTAAAACCCTAAATATTTGGCCTTTTTTAAAAAAAATAAAAAAATTATGATGCATGTTTTTAGGCTAGTTGGATTATGAAGTGAATGTCAACTGTGATATGTTGTTGGCCAGGAGAATTATGTGTTTTGATTGAATTAATGATTAGTGGGGAATTAGGTTTAATGTGCTTGCATAAATTGAATTGATGATTAGGTTTGATGAATTAATGATTATGTTTGTGAATTGATTATTGATTATGGCATGATGATTGATTATGATTATTGATGATGATATTTGTGATTTGGCATGTTTGGAAAGTGAATTATGATTATTGATTATAAACAATGATTATGGCATGAATTATGATTATTTTGGTGAATTGAATACAGATTATAATTATGATCATTGTTCATTGATGATTGAAATTTGATCGATGATTATGTAATATGATTATTTTTGTGAATTGATTGATGATTAATGAATATGACTCTGATTATGTTTATGAGTTGATTATTGATTTTGATTATGTTTGTGAGTTGATTATTGATTTTGATTATGATTTTGAGTTGATTATTGATTTTGATTATTTTTGTGAATAGATTAATGATTATGATTATATTTATGAATTGATTATTGATTATGATTATGCATGTTTGTGATCTTCATATATGGCATGTTTGTGAATTGATGATTATGTTTATTCTTAATTGTAATGAATGTATGACTTTAAATTTGAGCTTTAATATGACTAACACTTTTAATATCAATAAGATAATGAATAATTTGGTAATGGGTGTAAGTATAATGAGTAATGGCATGAATATGAATCTAATGAGTAATTATGTGGGTTATAAATGCTCTCTTTTTCACCTTCTCTCAAGTGTGGAAGTAGTGGATGATGAAAACCCTATTTTGTGAGATCACATTGTCCTTTGTGTGACTAATGTTGTTTTCCATTGTTACTGTCCACTGAAACTCATGTGTGTTTGGTCTAAGTATTGACTCTTTAGGCAGAAATGTTGGTTACTTATTGGGAATGTGTTCAATGATATTTGGGGAACACTGACACTAATTTAAAATTGATTGAGAAAATAATGTGATTTTTGATGTTGTAACTATGTTCCTCAACTAATGAGGTGCATGACTTACTGTTCCCCTTGTTCCCTGCCCCTTTTGTTTTTTTGCCTATGATGAAAGTCTACTAAATGAGAATATCAGGCCATGTAGGATAACAGAAGTTTGTCATTTGATTCAACCAATATCATTATGACTTTGGTTGTTGAGACATTTAGGTAGATGTTGTTCATCTTATTGTCTGAATTCAGTGATTGATGGGGACATCTGAGGCCATTTTATTACAAATAAAAAAAATAAATAAAAAAAAAGCATTTGCAACGAAAACATAAGATATTTCATTAAGATTCATCAATATTTGTTACAAATATATCGTGTTTTGTCCCTTTGCACTTTCAAACACACAAAAACAAAATGCCAAATGCCTACAAATAATTGTTGTGCTACTATGTTTACTCTGAAGTAATGTTAAGGTGATTTGGAGATTATTGGAGATAATATCCTTTTGGCTACTAAGTTAATAAAAGGTTATACTCATAAGTTCATTTCTCCCTGGTGCATGATTAAGGTGGATCTTAAAAAGGCATATGATTCTGTGGAGTGGGGATTTCTTGAGTCTGTGCTCTCGGAACTTGGTTTTCCTAGCTTGTTCATAAAGTGGATTCTTGGATGCATCACTTCTGTTTCATTTTCTATCCTTATTAATGGTGCTCCTTCGAAGCCTTTTAAAGCAAAGAAGGGCTTGAGGCAAGGGGATCCTCTGTCTCCCTTTTTGTTTGCTATTAGCATCAGTATTTGTCTAGGTGCCTTCACAATTTGAGCTCTAATCCTAATTTCAATTTCCATCCAAGATGTGAAAAATTAAAGCTGACGCACCTTATGTTTGCTGATGACCTCTTACTATTTGCTAGAGGTGACTTGACTTCTCTGAAGCTTTTAATGCAAGCCTTTATGAAATTCTCCCATGCCTCTGGTCTTTCTGCTAATTTGGATAAAAGTGAGACTTTTTTTGGTGGAGTTTCTGATGATGAAAATGCTCTGTTTCTCCAAGTCCTTGGTATGAGTGCTGGTTGTATTCCTTTCCGGTATTTAGGTGTGCCTTTATCTTCAAAAAAGCTCTCTGTTCTTCAATGTAAGCCCTTGGTTGCCAAAATAACTTCAAGGGTTGATAGTTGGGCGGTGAGGTTTTTGTCTTATGCTGGGAGGCTTCAACTTATTTGGAGTGTCTTGTTTGGTATGGAAACCTACTGGTTTCAAATCTTTATTCTTCCTAAGAAAATCATAAAAGAGATTGAAGCTAGGTTTCAGTCCTTTTTGTGATCCGGGAATTCTAATCCTACAAAAAAAGCTCTTGTGTCTTGGAAACAATTGTGTCTTCCTAAGGCAAAGGCAAGTGGAGGTTAGAAAACTACAAGAAATAGGCTGTTTTCCGAGGGATTTGTTCCGACGGACCTAAATTTCGTCGGAAAATCCTAATTTTCCGACGGAATTAAGGTCTGTCGGAACTTTCCATTGGAAAAGGTTCCTTACGACGGAAACTCCGTCGGAATTTTTGCGACGAAAATTAATTCCCTTGGAATAAAAGGCTTCCGACGGAATATTCCGTCGGAACGTTGATTTACCTATGGAATTTAAATCCTTCGGAATTTTCCTACGGAATAATCCCTCGGAAAACTCAATTATTCCGGCGGATTTTTTATCCGACGGAAAAATATGTCGGAACGTCCTAATATATAAAAAAAACCCCGGATTTTTCTTTGTTCTCTTTCTCCTCTCCTCCTTCTCCTTTCTTTCCTTTTTCCTCCTTTTCCTTCCTCTCGTTTCTCTCTCCTCCTTCTCATTGCGTCCCTCTTTCCTCCTTCTCCTTCCCCTTGTTTCTCTCTCCTCCTTCTCCTTCCCCTTCATTTCTTTCTCCTCCTCCCTCCTTCCCATCGTCTCTCTCCTCCGTCTCCTTCCGTTGCTCAACAAAACCACCACCACCGTCGTTGCTCAACAAGACCACCATCACCGTCGTTGCTCAACAAAACCACCATCACCGCCGTTGCTCAACAAAACCGCCGCTGCCGCCGCTTCTCAACAAAGCCTCCACCACCGATTCTAAGGTTTTTCATGTTTAATTCGACCATGAAAACCCTAGATCTAAAGTTTTCATGGTCGAATTTGACCATTAAAACCTAAATTCAAGCCAATTTAGGGGTTTTGATGGAATTCAAGGTAAGTTCTCTTACTCTCTTTTGCTTTTTTCGGCATTTTTACCTTTATTTTCTTCTGCTTTTTCTGATTTTTCGTGTTTTAGTTTTGATTTTTCTGTTTTTTTCGTTTTTTTTTTTCTCCGGATTTTTCATTATTTTCGTGATTTAGTTTTTTTCCGCCTTTTCCCGTTTTTTTCTTGTGATTTTTCTTTATTTTTGTGTGTTTTTTTTTCGCCATTTTTCGTTTTTTTTCTTCTTATTTTTCGTTTTCTTGATTTATTTTTCGGTTTAATTCGTTTTTTTTTTCTCTGAATTTTCTATTTTTTGTTTTTTTTTTATTTTGAAATTTTGAATTTGTTTTTTTATTGGAATGTGGTTGAGGTGGGTGGGCTGGTGTGGGTATTCGGTGGTGGGTGGTTGTGGGTTAGGGGGGTTTCGTGGGTGGGGATCTGGGTTGTGGGGGTTTTGTGGGTGGGGATGTGGGCGGGCTGGTGGGTGGGGATCTAGGTTGTGGGGCGTGGGGGTGGGCTGGTGGGTGGGGATCTGGGTTGTAGGGGCATAGGTGGGCTGGTGGTGGGGGCAGGGGGTGGGCTGGTGGTGGGGGAGGTGGGTGGGGCTTTTTATTATTTTTATTTTTTTCTATTTAATTTTCCGACGGAAAGTTCGTCGGAATTTTCTAGCGGATTTAAATTCCGTCGGAAATCTCCGACGGACTTTCCGGTACCGGAAAAACCTCTTCCGACGAAAAAATTCGTCGGGATTCTGTCGGAATAGTGTTTTCCAACAGAATTTCCGACGAAAATGGCCGTTTTTCCGACAAAGTGATCTCCGACAACGTGTTCCAACGGAATTCCGTCGGAAATAGCCATTTCTGACGGATTTACAAGGTGTACAGACGGAATTTTTCCGTCGTTAATCAAGTGTTTTCTAGTAGTGGAATATCCTTGCATTAGAGGATTAGAACATTGCCGCGGTTTGTAAGAATCTGTGGGACATTTGTAATAAGGCTGATAATCTTTGGGTGAGATGGGTTCATATCTATTATTTCAGGAGTAAAGATATTTGGACTACTTCTCTTCCTCAAAATGCTCATGGGTATTAAAGAAGATTCTCAAGTGTAGAGAGGTTATTCAGAATTGTGGTGGATGGGATGTTGTGAAGCAAAATGTCAAAGTTTAAATCAAGAAGATCTATAGCTCTATTAGACAACAAAGTCCCAAAGTGAGTTGGAAGAGACTTGTGTGCAATAATAAAGCTTCCCCTAAAAGTGTTTTCATCTTGTGGTTGGCTATCTTAAATAGGCTTCTGACTAAGGATAGGTTGGTTTCATGGAATATTAATTGTGACCCTATTTGTTTGCTTTGCTTGCGTGAGCCTGAGAATGTTCAACATCTCTTCTTTGGATGTTCTTATTCTAGTAACATCTAGCAGAAGGTGCTTGATTTATTTCATATTAGTAAACCTATCCAAAGGTTTCAGTTGGAGGTTGATTGGGCTTTGAGGTATTGTAGGAAAGCGGGTGAGAGGAAGAACTTATTCTTAATGTTCTTTGCTGAAACGGTCTATAGCATTTGGACTCAACGGAACTCAACCATGTTTAATGGTTTTTGTAGTGATTCTAATTCTGTGTTTCGGAATATCGTTTTTAGAGTTGCTTATAGATGCTTAGATGATGCAAGGAAATATCTTTTGATTTGATTGTGTTCTTTCCTTTCTTGCTGCTAATCTGGTTTTTCCTAGTGGTTGGCTGCTTTTGCTGTTTCTGTAGTTGCTGGCAGGTTTCTGTTCTGCTTACTGTTTGGGTGTAGTCTTGATGTATGGAGTTTGTTGCTATTGGAAGTTGTTGTTAGCTGGTGCTACTGCTGATTTATTACTAGTCTGCTGATGGCTGGTTCTGTTTACTGATAGTTTCTGACAATTGCTGACACTTGGTGGGTTACTGGCTTGTTGCTACTCTGCTATCTGTTGTCTGTTGCTCTGCTGCCTGCCAGCTTCTGTTGTTCTGTTGTTTACTCTAAAAGATGATGCTCTGTTGGATGCTGGGCTGTTGTTACTTTGTTGTCTGTTGCTGCTTTGTTGGTTGTCGTTACCTGGTTCTCAATTGTTCTGCTGTTTCTGTAATAGTTGCTGCCTGCTAGTTATCTGTGTGTTCCAGTTGTTGTTCCCTTTCTGTTGCAAGTTGATTGTTGGCGCTGTCATAGTCTTGTGATGTGCTACTGCTGGTTTTTGCTGCTGATGCTGTGCTGGGTTTGTTGTTGCTGGTTCTGTTTGTGTTGTTGCTGTTCTGCTAGAAGTGTTGTTGATGTCTGCTTGCTGTCCTAGTTTCTCAAAGGTCACTTTGGTGTTTTTTTTTTCTTTTGGTGTTGCAAGCTTGCTGCTGAGTTGTCTAGAGGTGTAATCTTCAAGTTGGTGTTCCTGTTGCTTTGCTGCTGCTTGTTTGCTTTGTTGATTTTGGTTGGCAGATCCTTGATGTTGAAGCATTGGGCTTTTGTTTTCCATTCCTATTCTATTTTGTAAGCCATCCCTTGTTTACTTTTGGGCTTGTTATTTTGTCTTGTTCCTTTGGTTTTGGGTAATCCTCCTAGAGGGTAGCTCTTTTCCATTGAGTTCAGAAGAGCCGTGTTTGGTCCTAGGTTCTTTGGAAGCCTTCCTAGAAGGTGGCCTTTGAACCTTGGTCCTTGGCTGGTGGGTGTGTGTCTTTAAGGGTTTTCGGTGTATTGGAGTTTTGGCCTTCGGGCTATTTGTATTCCTGTTTTGCTGCTTTGCAGCTCCTTTTGGTAATGAAATTTTCTATTTACCAAAAAAAAAGGTGATTTGGAGGTTGATGCCTCAAAATCATTTGCAGGTACCTTAGTCCCATATTTGGATAGTTGTGTGTCTTTATAATAAGCAGCCCTTGATTCTTGAATTATTTCATCCCAAAAATTTGCATCTCTTTCTATTTCTTCAGTGAACTATGTTCCCCAATTTGTAGTCCCTTTAGGCTCATGTTATGATTCCCATGTATCCTCATGTTGTGTAAAATTTGCACCTCCTTCTATATCTTGACTGAATTGTGATCCTAATGCTTCATTTAAGTTCCTTTACACTTATCTTGCATGGCTGTACATCTGTGTAAATTCATTGACATATTCCCCTATCCCCTCTATTGTACCCAGTTCTATTGGTGGTAACTCGCCATAAACAGCTTCCCATGCCTTTAAAACTGCCCATTTTGGACACTTTAGCATTTCAGAAAGTGTACCCTTTCTGAGTAGTTTTTTTTTGTTCATATGTGGGTTATCATATTGATTTGAGTCACCTGCTTTGAGAATTTTATTCATTTCTTCCTGTAATGTGACCTAAACAAATGTGAGTGTTTGTGAATCTAACTCATTAAATGCCTCATTAACACAGTAAATCATCAACATATTTTGCCATTTTTTTTATGTCGAAGAGATTGAATACTTGCAAAAAAACCTAAATCAAGTATGTTGTGATCAGGATTATTTGGTGGTTGTTGTACCAATATAAAAGTGAAACCATCTGGTTCATGAACTTGCTGACACTCTAGATCATTTTGAAGAATATGAGGTCTTGCATTATCTTGTTGTATGTAAATGGTTCTTGATGTGCCATCATTTGGCCATTTTGCCTTAATTGTTGGAATAAGTTTTTCTATAAGCATTCTTCTGTATACTTATTTAGTTACTCTGTCAATAAATTTAGTGATTGGTGTCCCCTTGTCTCTATTTTTTTACTTCCTCTTTGTTGGTTCTGTGTGTATATATGGAAATATGCCTAGTCTTCCATCAAAATAGCACTCACCTTGGCTGTTGTACCTAGGCTTTGCACATGCTGTTGAGAACATGACCTTTGGACCATGTGTGCTTGCTAACCCTGTTCTGTGCACTCCCTTTTCATTTTTGCCTAAGTAGTGTCTGTGGCTTTTCTTAGAAAATTTGAACCATTTCTCATCAATATGAACAAAGTCATACATGGGAAAATACCTATTCTTTGACAAAGGTGATGACCCCATGATTAGACCAAGAATCCATTCTAATCTTGCCAATTTATTTGCTCTTGTCATAGGGGGCTTAATTGCATTTGTGTGAACCTTGAACTCACCCCTTTTGATCATTCTTCCAACTGTTGATTTTGAAATATTCAACATACTTGCAACATACCTTATGCAAGATCTTTCCCCCATGCCAAGCTTTTCAATGTCCTCTTATGGTGCTGTAATTCTTTTCATTCCTGCTAAATGGTAATTAGTGCATGGATTATATTTTCCTAACTCTTCTTTTTGTTTTTTGGCCGAGTTCCATATCTTGCTCACACATTTCCTTAAGAGATTAAAATGGTGCTTAGCCTTTTTAATTGTTCCCCTTTTAATATCATCAGTTTCCTGATTTTTAATGAGGAATATGAGGATGTTATACTTATCCTCAATGTTGAGCCTACGCTGCTTCTGCTTGTGATGAACTGGACCCTCATGTTGTTGATTATGCTCTTGTGTTCCCTAACCTGTTGTATTTGTCCCCTAATCAAATGATGATGCATTATATGTGTGGCTGCCATTATTTGTTTCAAGACTTCCATGAAGATTTGTCCTTAAATCTTCTGTTGGTATCATATTCAAAACGAAATCAAAGTCCCCTATTGCTAATTTCTCCACCAATTTCATCATCACTTGGCAACCAGCATTCGTTGATATCAAATTCTAAGGCCATCAACAACCAGTAGGCAATGATGCGATTTTTTTTTTTTTTTTTTTTTTTTGTAAAATTTAAAAATTTCCTGTAAGAATGTTTGAAATTTTAATGTCACTCTAAGTAAGGATGTTTGAATTTTATGGATGTAAGAATGTGAGTATTTATATGTAGTGGAATTGCAAATGTCCCATTAAGTGAAAAATGGGCGCCATTAATTTTGGTGAAAAAGTAGCGCCAAAATGCAATTCAGAAAATTTTGGGGTGAAATGTTCACCTAACCATGCATTGGTCCCCATTTTTAATCTTCTTAATTCTGATAAGTGGAGAAAAGTTGGTTTGGATTGATGATGTAAGAATATAAAGGGCTGCAATTGCCCAACGCCAACTGTACATTCCATTATGTGGTTTTTTTTTTTAATTAAAGCATTAAATGACAGCCCACATGCTTTGATGTACTTCCAATGATTGAGTTTAAGGAATCTCCTATTTTCCTTAATAACCGTGAAAACTTAGAAATAGACACGTAATAATGAGATGGAGGGAGTATATCTATAAATCCATAAATAAATAATACTAAAGTAACACCCGTTGATGTCATCACGGTTTATGTGTCACTTTTTTATTAAATTTTTTCCCGCCTAAATGCAAGGATAACGTAATTTTTTTTCTTTTTTTAAGTTACCCTATTTAACATTGCTTTGAAAATTATATTTCAAGCTTATATAGTACGAATACAACTTATCATCTTATCCTAAGAAATTAATCAAATTTTGACTGTCACAATAATAAATTAGCTCCTACTCCTATCTTTTCCACTGTTATTTCATCTTCCCATGGACAACAAAGATTTCTATTCTCTCATCTTCTTAATTTTACTTTGTATTTCAAATCAACTCTATTCACTCAATTCTTAGCCATAATTTTGTTTCTTCATTTTCCCTTACATATTTAAGTTTTAAATTGTTTAATATTTCTCTTGCGCTGGTATATCTTTTTTTTTTCTTTCTTTATCTTCTTTATAATTATTCTTAGATTGTTTATTGTGCTTTAATTTTAGAATACAAAATGTAACAATGATTTTAGATTATTTGTTTTATGTGTGAAATTTGTTGGTTTTTTCCCTTTAAGTGTGTGTTAAAATTTGATTTGATTTTATTTCTCCTTTTTTTTCATCATTTTTATTGGTTTCTGTTTTTTTTATTTTTTTATTTTATTTTTATTTATTTTTAAAGATGGTTTCTTCTTCTTCTAGATCTTTTTTTTTCTTCTTATACTATTTGAAAAATGTTATACAACTTTTTTTATTTCAGTATACAATCGTTGATCGAGTATGGTATGGTAATTTGATTGTGTTTTTATGAAATTTTTTAAAAAAGTGTTTTTATGAATTTTTTTTAGAAAATTGTTTTTATGTAATTTGATTGTTTGTTGATTGCTTAATTTTGTGGGAATTTATTTGATTTTCCCCGTTTTTTTTAAAAAATTGAATTTTATTTAACAACTCCTTTGGGAATGACGTATGACATTGCCTTTGATCGCCTCTATGGTCAAGGCTTGATTACACCTATTGGACCATTTCTAGAGCTGAAATTTGAAGAAAGGAGTGCCAAGTGGAATCCCAATGCTTACTGCAAGTTTCATCAAGGAAGAGGCCACACTAATGAACAATGCTGGAATTTGAAGGATGCTATCCAAGATCTAGTTGATGCCAACAAACTTCTTGTCCCTCCAGGCGGCAATAAGTAATGAAGACAAGGCGCACGACAGTCCTTCGTGCAAGATTTCATGATTTCTTTCTTTTTATTCATTTCCATTTCCCATTATGTCAAGCACAGGTTTTCCATTTCGAATTTATATATGTTTTATCCATCTTTTTTGTCAATAAAATGAGCATTTTTTCCTTTTACATCTCGATCATGCTACTCTTCATTAAAAAAAAAAACCGAATCAAACATAAGGTATGCCAATGATTCGAGGCACCCTTTGCAACCCTTTATCTCCCAGGAAACCATTCAAACACATAGTCCTTTCATTCATTAACCATTTTGAGCCTCGTCTAACGATCGACTTTCATTTATTTAACCCACATTCACCTAACCTTGGGATAAGGGAGATGTGTGATTTGTGTAATTTTCAAAAGCAATTTCAAAAGAGAAGGAAAAAAAAGAAAAATAAAAATAAAACGATGTTTAAGGGCAAGTGTTCTAATGTCTTTGATATGAACACGTCTCGAATTGCATATCTCATCGAGTGTTTGATACCGTGCGTGAGAAACATGAATGCTAAGTGAGTAATGGACCACATAATCCGGGATTGCCCACATTGATTAAT